CAAACATAGTTTCGAAAAAAGAATGAAGTTAGATAGCAGGGATTTTATCTTAAGAAAATTTGTATTTTATATATCAAAAGTTAACGAGTGTCTATTTTTTAAAATACACTGCGATATTTTTAAAGATAAATATATAAAAATAAATAAGTAGATAAAAGTACTTGATCAAGAAAGTAGGCTCGAGGAAAGAAAGAGAGACTTGATTCGTCTTCTCGAGTAACATCCTTATCTCCATAGAATCTCTTTTGCATTAAGTTACTTAACTCGAAACGTCTTAGAACTTCAAGAAAACGATGCACATAGAAACAAATGAAAGTGGTATATACTATCATAAATCGTAAAAACTTAATATATGACAAATAATTAAAATATCACGAAAAGCATAAAAATAAATGTAGCTGTAACTAAAAAAGTGAAGAAATTATATTTAAATTAAATTTAAATTCAATTTGTTTCTTAACTCAAATTTAAGTCTGTATTCAATACACAATAATCTGCAATCAGAAAATAAAGAAAGCACATTTGTAACAATAATTCACATCCGCTGATAATTTACAACGAAAACAGCGAATATTTGACAAAACAATACAATACAATACGGAGAGTAAAAGTAACTTGCAATTCTGTTTTTTCTATGAATTACGATTTCGTGCTTGAACACAATTCAGAATAACATTGTTCTGCTTCGCTATAAATTTTTTCTCTATGAATGGCAAAAAATGATGAAGGTCAATAAAATCAAATGCACGGACTTTTTATTTGGATTTATTTTTACGATTTTATTCCAACGAAACTACCGCATGATAAAGTGACATTTGTAAAAGTTTCTCTGGTCTAATTTATATGTTAAGAAAAAAAGGAAACGTCATTGTTATGTTTCATTTGTTCGAGCAAGCCGTAATGTGGGACCTAAATATTATACGATTGGTGAAATATCAAGTCTAACGTCCTTCAATCTTCAAACAAAACCCTTTCTGCATAAATGAATATTAATTTAAATGAAAATCGATGACAGAACGAAGCACCGATTTCAAGAACGCTCACAAACGAATTCATTTCAGTTCGGTGTCTTTATGTGCTTTATATACTTGTTCTTGAGGGATAAGTATAATTCACTGTTGAAAGTCTAATACAGCGGAGAAAAGGATTTCTCTCTAGTACTCGAAGAGATTCCAATTAGTATACCCTATTATAATATTGTTCAAGGAAATCATTCTGTTGTTTTGTAGATAATAGAGCAATATTTTTCTATATATTTTACTAATAGTACAGATCATCGCATTTAATCCTTTTTCTACGTAAAAAAAAAAGAGAAAATACAACGTTCTTCTGTGTAAAAACAAAAAGGAGAAATACTTGCGGTTTTTCTATGTGAAAAAACAAGAAGAAATATTTGCGTTCTTCTGTCTACGAGAACAGAAATACTTGTATTTTGGAGTAAGTTTACTTTATGGCTTTATCATGAAAGGAAGTTTAGTTAATATTTTTTCCTGTAATAATATTAGCAAAATATAGATAGCTACCACTTTCCTGTTTTCTAGTCTAGAAAAGTGATCCTCCTTGATGTCTATTTTACCCGAGGAAACAATTTTCCTTCTATTTAATATTAGCTAAAAAGCAGGCTGTGCCTCCATTGTCTTCAAATTGAATTTTCATTATCAGAAGAATTAATTAGCTGAGGAAGTTCACACAGGAGCAATTAATTTAGTATTTTCTAAATTGTTGATGTATCACAATGTACGAAGCGTGCTTATTATACAGAAATAACTGATAGTATGAATTTTTAGTGTCATTAATTAAATAGCAATTAATGTTTATAATCTATATAATAGCAAAATTATGTTTATAATTATTGCATTGTTTAGGTAGACTTTTATTTTCTTCTATTCTTTTAACTAATTTCAATAATAACTTTCACAATTTTATCCAACAAGTTTCTACTTTTATCTGATTAATTGGGAACAATTAAGAGTGTTTAAAAATTTGTTCATAATTCGTACA